AACCATTGGTTAGCCAACCACCACCACAGGATGTGCATCAAACTGTAACACTTCCAAGTACTTCATCCCTAAAGTAAGCAGCAAGCATGGAGGAACTTGCTTGAGCTTAAAAGCAAGGCCCACACCCATTTTGTGCAAATCCAGCTGAATTAAGCCAGTTCTTTTGTACGCGGAAAAACATGCTACTTATTATCAACTTTCATTATTTGACAAAAATGTTTTAGTTGGATACAAAGTATAACTTCTGCTGCAACTTGCAGAATCATTCTTTGATTCTCGAGGAAGAAAGTGTTAAACCCTCATGCTATCTTAGACTTCACTAGTAACACAAGTTAGAAAATAGGCAACAATTTTAGGATTAGACATATTAAGACATATTTAATCATACAAAGAGTAAATTCATTGACTTGGTCGTTTAAAAAATTAGTACTTTACCGCTAATCGGTCAAACAGCAGGGAAAAACAATAAAAACAGTGCCTAAAGTTTTCAGCACCGACATTTTTATTCAGTGAGGAATCAAAAGCAATCAACTATTGTGACTTACAGACCTCCTAATGATATTTCACTCATTGATTAGGCTATCAATATACCGTTGGCGAGTTTTAGCCAGAGGCTAACACCGCCAGTCAATAACTTTGCTACAAAAACAAAAGCAACCGTTAACATCAGCTAACCGTCTCAAATTACATATGACTAAGCTGCTACCGTACCTTTTCTTTGTCACTTTCGTCTATGGATGTCATGATAGTGTTCAAATTAACGAAAAAGAGAAAAAAAGAAGGTCAAACTAAATCAAACTCGATGCAGGAAGCCGTCTTCTAGGAGGCTGCGTTAGCTTCCTAACAAACTGTCAAACAATTTTTCCGCCCCCTTCCTGGTGATGAAAGCTCAAAAATCCCGCCTTGATTCAACCTGATTGGCTAGAAATCTGAAACGCTAACGCTGCTATTGGATGAATACCTAATCAATCAAGTCACATGCTCGCTTCACGAAAACTTTTTTTTTCAAATTATTCTAGATAACGGTGTTTCAACTTTTGGGAACAATAAAAATGAAAAGCAGTGATATTTGAAAAATATAAGTAGCAAAAAGTCAAGGAGATAATGTAATAGTGCTACACAAATACAGAACGTATAATGTGAGTGGGGAATCAATTTTTACACTTCCAAACAGTTTGGAGGTGGGGGTTGAAGTTTAATCGTAGTAACTCAGTAAAGAAAGGCATTAGTAGCATACTTCTATTTCCAATGGAATTACAAATAAATACCCATGATATGTTCATTTAATAATAATAATAATTTTAAATCATGTACAAAGCTTCGGCTAAAAAAGTCCCAAAAATGTCTAAAGTTACACGGTGCAGCTCACTTCAGCCGTTATATATATTTAATTTCTGAAATCTTAAAATAAAACACCAGAGTTGTTAATTATGATAGTCCTTAATTGTAGAAAGCTAATACACAGAATTTTAATTTCTTTAAGTCAACAACATATAATTTTTATGGAAGCCCGTTTCCGCCACTCTGTTAAAAAAATTAAATAAAATTATCTCATTATAATGAGATACTATCTCATTATTTTGAGATACTATCTCATTATAATGAGATAATTTTATTTAATTTTTTAACAGAGTGGCGGAAACGGGCTTCCATAAATTTTCCCTTTGAGATCAGTACAGTATTTTTAATTGAATTGAATTTCTGCTCAAATGAGTGGTTTGGTATATTTTCAGAAGTTAGACAAAATGCTAATTTTAACGTAATCCTTCTGTCAGGTTTATATTTTCTTTTTTTTTTTTCAATTATCATAATTACTCATTTATACTTAACATTAATCAACCAGAAACGTCAGTGTTTATTCTTCCGGAGAACATAGTTTCCGAGTATTTGTTGCCAAAATAAAATGACACACAAATTAGCGCTGTACGTACTGTTTCGATAAGGCGATTGGCGCCCACTCTTTTAATCGTCTTCAGGGATGCATTTCAATGTTACACCGACCCACATAGGTAATGTAGTTTTTCCTGTATCAAACTACAACCAGAAAGCAGCATTAATAAACTTCACTTCCCATCTACAAGTCGTTGTGCCACCAAAAAAGCGCCCCGGCTAGAAACACAATTGTTTACTTGGCCTAGTTTTAGCCGGAACATGTTGGGGCAATAACCCAAGTTATATAAGTGCTAAACTTTGATTTAAAACGCAAAACTACCCGAGACTCATATTGTTTTGCTGCAAATAACATCGTTATCTGAGTGTGCAGTATTGAAATCGCAAGAATGTTCGTTTTGAATCGTGTTTTGTTCGCTGGTGGCATCATCGTCCCTGAGAGCACCTCCCTCATAGTGTGCCACTTCTCTGCTGTTCACCGGCTGACATGCCCCAGGAGGAACAGTCCCTACAGCTCTGTGGACAGTGAGCGCTACTCTTCTCTGGTGAAATCCATCATGTCCTCCACTGTCAGCTCTCAGACCCCGGAGACCCTCCAGGCGGAAGATGACCATGTTTATGGGCCAGTTGTCAAAGCTCAGACGCCTCCACGAACCGAGCCGAGGCTCCCCAAAACTCTTCATCCTTTCCTAAATTCTGAAAGGACTCTAGAAACGGAGGAGCCAGAGGCGGGACCTCCAGCCCGGATTTTGTTAAATCGGGGTAAGAGTAGGCCGTTTATCCCGAGTGTGACTCGCATTCTTCAGCAGACACTTTCTCCAGAGCAGATCTTCTACCTGGAGAGATGGAAGAGGAGGATGATCGCTGAGCTGGGAGAGGAGGGCTTCAAAGAATATAGTCAAAGTAAGATTCTTAAAGTTATTGTAAACTGTTTTTCTCACACCCAAATGTACACTTAAAAACTTCTCCACAGCATGCCGCAGCCACTACCATGTCTCACCTGTCGCAGTCAGGAAGTGTGTTCAGGATGGTGTAAAATCATGGACAATGGAACTATCAGTTCTATTGTCAGTGGAACAATTGACAATGTTCCACTGTCATAAAATATTCTTTATACATAAGAACAATTTATTATTCTGGTGTCTCATTTTGAAATCTGCTGAAATTCACAGTGTAGTTCATTGTTTTATATTTGTAACCAAACATAATGTGTTAAAAATGTTCCGACACATAACCGGGGTTTGAAGTCCTTTTGAATGAGACATAATACATAAATTTTATTTACATGTTCTGCAAGGCATAAATCAACATAGTGCTGCTTCTCCCCCACCTATCACTGACCACTGCCTGGTAAATACCTCCAGTACTTCTCTTTTGCCTATAGCAGAAAGGTTAATTTGGCTATATGTAAATATTTCTGTCCAAGAAAAACATGACCAGTACAGTGGATGATTAAAACAAAGTTGCTCCACTAGAGTCCTGCATTTAAGGCAACACTACCATAATGTTATTGTTGACAAACTACAAGCAGTATAAATGCAAAGCAGTTAATGCTTCCTGACTACTCAAGCAGATAAATACTGTGAAATCGTTGTACATTATACCTGGTAATCAAAGTTGATATGGTTTTTCCCCAGATGTATTTAAACAAGGGAAACGTTTCCATTCCGTTCTGGAGGACATTCTGACCTCTGCCGACACATGGAGGAACAAGAATCTCTCAGAGACACCACAGTGTCCTCCTGAAGCGCAAGGATACATCCAGAGCATCTCTCACGTACTGGAGGACATCAGTGCAGTGAGAGCCATTGAAAGCTCTGTGCAGCATGGCTCCCTGAACTACTTGGGAATTGTGGACTGCATCGCGCGCTACAGGTAAAACTCCTCTGGACTTCAGTTTTTCTTACCGCCTTCATGTCTCTCACAGTCCACTTCTCTCCACAGGGGTGTGCTGTGTGTCATAGACTGGAAAACCTCTGAAAAACCTAAACCATTCTTGAGCAACACATATGATAACCCTGTTCAAGTTGCAGCATATGCTGGGGCTCTGAACAATGATGGCAACTACAAATACCAGGTGGTCTACCTTGATAAATGACACATCTTATATTTACTCGTGTTGTAGTAACAGGATGTAGTTACATTCCTTTTGTCTTCTCTGAATTTCTTGTCCAGCACTGTCTCATGTCTTCTCACTGCAGGTTGAAAATGGTCTCATAGTCGTTGTTTACAAAGATGGCTCCCCTGCTCACGCTCACCAGATAAACTCAGAGTTGATGTCAGAGTACTGGAAAACTTGGTTGCTACGCCTAGAAGACTACCAAGAGCTCAGGTAAAGAAAAAAATATGAGTCTCTTTTTATTATTAATTTGTTATTTTTAGCCTCTAATGCTTTCTTTACACACCGGGAGTGGCAATAAGTGTAACACTTTATTTCCTAATGTTTTTTGTAAAGAATTATTTGTAAATATCATTTTGCGGTATAACAGTTGTTAACAGACGAGTACATAATTGATATAAAGCTAACCAAACAGCTTCAAGCATCACTAGTCATTACACTAATCCTTTAAAGCAGAGGAATGAAAAAACATTGCTTAAATAGAGATTTTAGCTCTTCTGCTGTTTTGGTTTGCATCTAGAGTATTGTTTGAAAAAAGTATGACTTTCTTATTATTATTTATAGTTTACTTCTTAGCAATTATCTGGGTGTAACCAAGCAGATGATTTTTTTTTTTTTTTTAAATGTTACCACATCCAAACACACACAAAAAAACATTTTTTTGTCTCTTCTCAAACAGCTATTTATTTGTCAATAATCAAGCAATGTTTCCCATAATCTCACATCTTCTAATGTTTCATTTTCAGGTCAAATGCTTCATCAAGTATGTCTCCTGAAAAGTGACATCTGCAGAAAAGTGCAGAGCTTTTTCTGCACTGAAAAGCTCCACCTTAACAACTGAAACCTGAATCAGAAATGGGAATGTTTTTTATATATATATATTTATTACTGGTTCTCCTGTTAAATTGAATGAAAGTCAAACAACTTTCAAAGACCTTATAATTGTAAATTTATGAAATGCATTTTTTTCTATAATCTTAGCTTTTGTCATTTAAGCATTTAAATCATTGAATCCATACCATGTTTCTCTGTATGAGGGATCCTCAGAGAATCCCATGCCTTTAAAGAGTTGGTAAGAGGCTCGGTTCTCTTCCTCTATGAAACAGAATACTGGGTAGCCCTGACCACATAATTTTTTAGCCATGCTGCTAATCAAGACTTTAGCGTAGCCTTTCCCTCTGTGTTCTGGCAAAGTGTACAACATTCCTAGGGCGCAGTACACATAGGTCAAAATCCAGGAAACAGGGTTTCCTTCAGGACCCAGAACGCAGCAGGAGGGGAAGTTTGTAACCATGTTGCGGATCATCCTGGCAGCGCCTTCATTATTTCCAAACTTCCACGTCCGATTCACCAAGTCAATGTGGGATTCGTCCAGGGTGCTGAGGCAGATCCCAGAGCTGATGCACAGAAGAACAAACTGACATTTCAGAGCAGATTTTTATTCTTGTAATGAGATGCTGTTTTATGAATAATTTGCCAGAACTTTAGCTTTTTTTAATTGATTCTGTGAGTCAACAGATTCTATGAATCTGTTAATTGATTACTATACCTGTTTATAGTAGGAAGCTTGGATGCCTCTTTCAATATCATCATGTGACAAAGTGACAGTTGGTTGCTGGGAACATTCCTTTCTGCTGCAACTGCTTTGACTATCTCCATGTGGGGAAGACTGGTTCCTTTAACACAAGCAATCATAGCTCACATGAGTAAAACTTGGTTTGCATTTTTATTTCTTTGCTTTACTGATAAAATTCAAATAAAATCTTATTCTGCCTGCAGTGCATTGTGTTGGTTATTTCAGTTTGTCACCTTACAACCACAAATTAAAACCACTGGTTTTTAGAATTTGGATTTGTCTATCACAGACAAATCCCAATTCATTTGGATTTATCTGTGATAGACCTAAACAAAGGAGTGGACAATTGTGAAGTGGAAAGAAAATGATGCAAAGTTGTCAACCATTTTACAAACAGAAATCTGAAAATGTATGCATTTTATTCAGTTTATTTTAGTCTGATACTCCTAAATAAAATTACCTTCAGAAGTCACTTAATTAGTAAACATAACCCACATATGTCTAATTTAATTTCAGTATAAACTGAGCTTTTCTGTGAAAGTCTTAGAGGTTTATTAGAGACATCATGAGGATCAGACAGATCAGGAACAAACCTGGGAAACACTTTATAAACCATATCATAATACCTGTTAAGGTAATGATAGATTATCAAAAAAAGTGAAGCGTATGGCACAACCGCCATGATATGTCCTATTTGCAGCTTGACACAGACCATGTAACACGGTAAAAAGACACCAACGTTTACTTTTTAGAATATCTGCAAAACACAAGTGGAAAACAAATTGCACACCACACTAAACATCACGCAATTTCTATGGGTCAATAGTTCAGTGTTTAGATGTGCAAAGCTGATAGACGCAGACTTAAATAAAACTTGCAGCTGTCCTTAGTACACATACTGTATAGGCATATATATCTCCACTTCACAATTATGAACCTCTTCCTGGTGGTTTTTCATATAAAATCCCAAAAAAGCAACATTTAAGTTTCTGGTTATGATGGAGGTGTGAATACATTTGTAAAACACTCTTTATGTATGTATGTATGTATGTGTGTGTGTGTGTGTGTGTGTGTGTGTGTGTGTGTGTGTGTGTGTGTGTGTGTGTGTGTGTGTGTATGTATGTATGTATGTATGTATGTATGTATGTATACATACATACGTGTGTGTGTGTGTGTGTGTGTGTGTGTGTGTGTGTTGTGTGTGTGTGTGTGTGTGTGTGTGTGTGTGTGTATGTATGTATGTATGTATGTATGTATGTATGTATGTATGTATGTATGTATGTATCAGTACAGGAACAACCTTCCTACATGATGGTGGAAAGGAGGTGCATAGAGTGTGGGAAAACTACAAATTTCACTCAGTGATCATATAAAGAAGGATCTGGTTTTGTTTCACAAAGGAAGCACTTTTGTGTTGGTTCCACCAGCAAAACCTTTCTGTAATAAAGGCTTTTGAGTACAAGTGGAGCATTCTAGAATAAATATGAAAAGGCTTATTGAAACCTAACAGATAAGAAAACAATATGCTCTTATATATTGTAATCTTTCTAGTAGTTATACGATAGTGAGTTTACAACACATATATTTTCCTCTGAATTATGCACAGGGAACTTTGAACCAAATTCAAACCAAAGTAACCTTTTAATTTGAACTCTGGGGTGATAAAAACAAATTCAGTCTATCATTACTGTGTTGATTCAGTGTAATTTAATAAAAAGAACAAAAGAAACATGTTATTACCAAGACAAAGGTACCTGCTCCAGTCAAGTACAGAAGAGTTCCTTATTGTTTCTGTGAGAATAGCTTCATCATTTGCAAAAATGAATGTGTCTTTGAACAAATCCGTTTTCTGGAAAGAACAGGTATGCAGAATTTAAAAAACTAACATACACAAAGTCTGCATGCATTTCGTCCATAATAGTAATTACCTCTTTATACTGGGGTTTGCAGATAATTACGCTGAACTGTGGCCATCTGTCCACTAAAACGATGTAAGAATCTGATTTCACTCTGTTTCTGAGGACCAAGAAACCGTAAGTCTGGAAAATAAAACAGTTTTAAGTCTGGAAGTCTAGAGACGTTGGTGAAGAGCGGCACAAAAACGGTTAAGTTGTGAAATGCAGTCGCGAAATGGCTCCACGTGCAGCCAATAAATTCATGCAGCAAACACACCTTCAGTGACTGAGGAAGCTGGCTTTGCAGTTCAGCCTCTGCAACTTTCAGCTGGTCTTCAGTCAGCTCCATGATGCTAAACCAGCAGTATTTCACAAGAAAACTTCCAGTGTCTCAAGGTCCAGTGGAGAGGGGCGGGGCTATCGAACTTCTTTTTCCTTTCGCACTTTCGAGAAAAATGACTTCTTGATCAAATAAACGCACCAAGTCCTGGAGTAGCATCAAGTTCTTGTTGGAAGAATTATAACGTCATTATTATTATCGTTATTATGCTTTTGGAAATGCTTACATAGAAACGTGTTATTACCAATTCTACTACTAATGGTAATAATATTAGATTATTAATATTAACAACATTATTATTAATAACTGCATTATTATAATTTTTGTTTTGTATATGTCATGTTTTAACACTATCCCAATCTCAAACAATTGATCATAGAACGTCCTAGACTGACACATAGGACATTGGAGACATTTTAAAATCTTGTGAAATCTTTATTTTTGAAAATTAGTAAAATAAAATAAAAATAAAAAAGTCAAAACAAGTCCTGGAGTAGAATCAAGTTCTTGTTGGCTTACTGAAGATTGCACAGGAATAAATAAGATGATTGAGTGGAGACTGTTGAAAAGCATGTCTTGGTTTGCATTCATACATGTGGTGCTTTTAGTATAAAAATGCACTATAGTTACATTGAAAGTGCCACTGATGGTTATGAATCATGTTTGAATCTAAATTATTATTTAATTGGATGCCAATGCAAATCCATCTTTTAATGCATAATTGAATAACACACTTTAGGTTTAATCACATTTTGACAAAAATTAAAAGCTGCTGCTTCACAGTCATTTCCAAGGTTAGAAGTTAAACTCAAACCATGCTGCTCTGTAGGAAGTGTCCTCAACAAAGCCCATGTTTTGGAAGAGTTTGTAGGACACCATGTTGTCTTCCTCTATGAAACAAAAAACCGGGTAGCCATCTGCATGGATCTTTTTGGCCATGGTGCTGATCAAAACTTTGGCGTAACCTTTTCCTCTGTGCTCAGGAAGCGTGTACAACATTCCCAAAGCGCAGTATTCATACAACAGTATCCAGGCCACAGGCACACCATGAGTGTCCAATATGCAGCAAGTTGGAAAGTTGCTAATTATGTTTTTAAAGTGTCTGTAACCCTTCTCATCCCCACCAAACTTCCAGGTTTTATTCACCATGTCAATGTGGGAGAGGCTGAGAGATGAAATCCTTGATTCCAGTTGACTGGGGAAAAAAGAGAAAACAAAATTAAAGTTTTCCTATTTTATAATATGGAGCTGTGATGAACTGGCGACCTGTTCAGGGTCTACCATTCCTCTCGCCTGAAATGTTCACTAGAGATAGGCACCAGCATCCCTCCCGACCACACGAGGGACAATGGTGTAAGTAAATGGATGGATGGATTATATTGAGCTAATTGTGTTTTGAAGCATACCTGTCAACATCTGGTGCACGTAGATGGCTGATGTCTGGAAGATACATCAGATGCACCAATGTGTAGGTCCTGTTGTTCACTTTTTTTTCTGAAGACACTTCTTTGAGTGTGGGAGCATGGGAAATATCAAAACCTAAGGAGAAAAAAAAAATCTCTAAATGTCCTTTTCTTGTATTGCTGCTTCAGTTCAAAATAGCAAAAAAGCACAGAGAAAATGAATAAGTGCTGTTTGATAAGTTCCTTCTTTAGGTAGTAGAATTATGCTACTGTAATTTTGTCTGGTATATTGACAACTCATCAAGCTATATACTGCATCCTGCATGATTTTATCTGAAATGAGAACACTGTTGGTTTTCAGCACAACTGACCTCCAATTAGGAAATAACTGCTCCAGTCAACTTCTTCGCTCAGCAGTTTCCTTAAAACTTCCTCATCTGTGCTGAAGAAGGACACCCTCTTCTTGAAGTCCTTGGATCGCTTATTCTATATTAATAACCAAAAGTAAATAATAAATAAATAATTTAAAATATTTAAATATGATACAAAAGGAAATGTGAACATTGACTGACCAAACAAATGTATCTATGATTACATATTTAGTGTTTTAATAAATTATATTTAAATAATAAAATGCAGAAATGAATAAAATTGGAATTATGAGTTATGTTTGTATTTTTTTAATAATATTGATCATTCTGTTTTGTAAGATGTGGATTTATTCTATGTCAACCCAAACTATCAATGTCAGTGGGCGCTACTAATACTGATATCTGCAGTTACACTGATTTGCAGATCAGCCAATCAAATATTAGAAGAACCCTTCCTCTTGTTTCAGTCGGAAACTAGTGGACAACTTCAAGTTTTTTCACTTCACTAGTGGGAGTGAAATAACTTCAACTGCTTTCAATTATTTAGAATCTGATTATTCCAAATGATTTCTAGATGTATTATTTTGTGTATTTAATAAATTGACACATTTATGCAAATATTAATAAAATATTTTAAATCAAAATTATAATTAAAAAATAGAATTGAACAAATAATTATATTTATTTTAGCTTTAAATATTCATATAATAATAATAATAATAATAATAATAATAATAATAATAATATAATAATAATAATAATAATAATAAGGCAAATAGTAATAACAAATAATTTCAGGTTGTTATGATGATTTTATTTACATTATTCAATGTATCAATATTTCTTTGTGGCTCTTTTGGTCCACGATAATAATGCTAATGTACAATTGTGCAAATCAGTGACAGCACATTTCTACAGAGTTTCCAAATTCGCGCTGGCCGTGAACTCACCTTAGGATCCGGACGCAAAAGGATCACTTTAAACTCTGGCCACGAATCAACAACAACCTCCAAAGTGCTCGGCTTGTTCCTATTACAAGTGAAGAGGAAACCGTAAACCTGAAAACAAGCAAAACAGCGGTGATATATTCTTTTTTATTTTTTAAGCAGAAAAGTGCCACCAATAAAGGCTACCTTGTAACTCCTCGGGAAATGTTTTAGCAAAACTCCCTCAGCGATCTGAAGCTCGTCTTTACTTAGCACCTTCATGTCTGCTTTACGTGCGGCTTGTTTTTCCAGTTTCTATGGCGTGTCTCAGGTTGAAAACCCTGGATCAACTCAACACTTCAGCTTTTTGTATAAATAAATGATTAACCACCGGTTCATGGTTTTTCAAGTTGTGGAGTTTAAACAACTTCCTGTTTTAAGTTTTTGAAAATAAAAGCCTTGATTTTTTTTTTCTTGTTTAGTGTTAGTCTGGCATGAAATGCCTTCCTTCTTGCCACTTGCTCATAAAGACCTGATTTGTAGAGTGAATGAGTCATGCCACAAGAACATTCCGTCTTGAAGCAGGAGTGTTCAGCACTTTCTAGCTGTAGAAAATAGTGAGATCAACTATTTTCTATGAACAATACGAGTCCAGTCACAAAGTATTGCACTCCGTTAGAAGTTTTCAAACACAAAAGGAAATGTTCAGGAATAGGAATTTAACAGAATGGTTAATAAGATGCAAACTTTCAGAAGTGAAGACTTGCAACATTGTATTACAAGTCAGCCATATTGGGTATAAAACTCATGACTGTTAGTAAATTCTAATTTTACCAAACAGAATTCCAACTTGAAAGAATTTTTTGTGCTTTTTCCAGCAGGTGACACTGAAAACTCACGATATATAGTGTCAGGAGGGCAAATTTTTGAGTTTTGGATTTGCCCATATCTTTAATTATTCCACAACTTTATTGCTGACCTAACCAGAGTGTGTCTTGGTCTTCATGATACTGTTTGTTCAATCACTTTTCTTCTACTTCTCTATCACATTGTCCAATTTGATGGTCTACTACACGACATCCAAATAAACACATTGGAATTTATGATTGCAATGTTACCAAATGTAAAAAAAAAAAAAAAAAAAAATCTCCAAGAAGTCTGATGAATACTTTTGTAAGACTGCGTACTGAAATGTTTACTCCCCAGGGAGTTTCACAATCATTTACATCATTAAAAACACCTCATGTATTGGATTGTTTGGAATAACTGCTCAGCAACCCAAATGACTCACAGGCTGAACAGCTGGGTCAGAGAATCATGCGACCTTAATCATGCTATTAGTGAGATTGTTCTAAACAAATAACTCCTATAGTACATGATGAGAACTGAAGAAACATTTTGGTTAAGAGGTCATATGTCCTGAAAAACCAAGAGTTCCAGGTTTCTTTATACTTAAAACTTGACATAATGAATTGTTCTCTTTATAAAATTGTAATCTAACAAAGAAAGCCTTTTTATTAAAAACAGGTAAGAATCTAATGCACTACAATTTAAGCTTGTGAAGAATTGTTATCTCAGTAGTTGGGAAACGAACAAAAACGGTTCTGCTGTCCTTTCTCAACATATTCAGCTTAGCTCTGGCAGCTCAATTAATACCATATTAATAAAAAAAGAAAAGGCAGCTCAAAGACTGGCATATAATATTTGTCAGCAACACAGATATTGCTGACAGAAGCATGTGGGCTACAGCAACAGAAAACTATAATAGACAATATCAAATTGGACAAATATGGCGTAAACATCACAGAAATAAAACTTTATCCTTTCTTATCCCAGTGGTGTAACCTTGTGAGAGGTTTATTTTTGGTGTTCTTTGGGTCCCGTAGTACCAATTGGGCTTTGTTAATCTCTCCTGATTATGATTGCTTCATTGCATTCTTATACCTACTTTGTGTGGCCTACTTTAAATTACCAAAACACAAAACACCTCAACCTGGTTTATTGAACATGAAAATGATCTCACAGAACTCCCAATACCATCCACAGTTTCCTGATATACTTGCCGGTGTCATGACGTGGGTGTGCAGGTGACACATTTACGAAAAATAAATCTAAAGTTAAAACTAAAGCAATCCAATCGCCTCCTACTAGTTGTACAAATTTGTAAGTAACAAGAGACCACATTTCCCATTCTTGATAATTAACTACATCCCTTTTGCCTTGATGTTGTCATTTAACATGCAGAAAATCTGACAGATTATTTAATAATAAACTAATTTGTGAAGCAAAAGAGGAAGATGTATTTGCATGGGGACTTTCAAAAACAATCCAAGAGGAAGTTTATTTCAAAACAAT